AGTTGAGAGAGACATTACCAAGCAGAGGCTGGTCATCATGGTGAGGGATAACGGACAGCCACCTCTCTCGGCCACCACTAGTCTCAACCTTGTCTTTGCTCAGAACTTCCAGGAGGCTCTTCCTGAAATTAATGCCCAACCTAGTAATTCAGAGGATCAGTCCAAGCTCCAGTTTTACTTAGTTCTGACTTTGACTTTGGTATCCTTTCTGTTCCTGGTGGCAGTGATTTTGGCCATTATTATGAAACTTCAAGGATCAAGGAACCCCACTTTTTTTCAGTGCTTCATTCCCGATTCTCATTCAAAGACTGGTACTGTATTTCCTCCAAATTATGAAGATGGGACTTTGCCTTATTCTTATCAGATCTGTTTATCCAGTGAGTCCAGGAGAAATGAACTGACTTTTCTGCAACCCAATGTCCAAATAATGGAAGATATTCTTTGCGAGGATAAACGTGATACCTCTGTTATGGTCAGCGAAGGTAACATTTTTGATTCTGGAAAGGGCATGGTGAGTTTTATTCATTTTCTTCATAAATTAAAATCAAGCTCTAATATTTGTTTCCATTTTGCTGATACTTTTATAAATATAATACAAGGAAATAAGATGGATTTATCATTATCAATTATTGGTTAAATGTTGGATTCATTTCAGACTTCAATGTCTGTTTTGCTTCAGTTTATTCAGTTGATGTTGCATTGACTGTGTGTGTGTGTGTATGAATTATAAATAATGCAAATCAGAATTATTATATATTTAGCTAATATTTATAGTAGTAATATTTGTGTTAAATGTGACATTGTAATGATCTACGTTTGCCTTTAAGTGCCATCTCTTCAAAAATTAGAAGCACTCAACTGAGAATATTATTACTGATGCCTTCTACTTCTGAACTGATTTCAATAAAGTTAAAGGATACATGTTTATTTTATGTGGGATGATCATTTCCTTTTAAAAGGAAAAGCTCTAAAAAGAACATTAATTCCAAATTTGTTTTGTCTTATATATTTATCACCATTGTAGGAGTGGTGAAAATCAAATTCTTGAAATCAAAATAGCTTTCTCTTCTATTGAATCCAGAATAGTTTTCTCAGAAGATCTCTAGTCAAAATATCCCACAGATAACCAGTTTATCTCAGGCAGGCAATAAAAATTCTCATTCTTCTTTATCTTCCTCTCCTTATGAGTCATCAGAAGGCAAATACAGTTTTTATTAGTAGCAAAGTTAATATTTTGATGAGTTAAAACATTAAAATATTATTCTTGTTCAGATAACACTGTGTATTAAATAGATATATAATTATGCCTTAATCCTTCTCAAGGGTTGATAAACTCCAAATCACACCACCTTTTTGCCTTCCAATCCTAAGGTAACTTGGTGGAAGAGGAAAGGGCATTTTTGCCTATTTGCTTGTTCGTTTTTTTTGTTTTTGTTTTTCTTTGCCTTTTTCGGGTTGTTAAATGCACTGTAAAACATTTGTTCTTTGTTCATTGTTATTTAAATTAAATTAAAATATCAAAATTGAGTGAAAGACATTCTGCTGTAATCATAGTAATAAGGCTGGCAAGGATGCATCGTCAAAAGATAAAACCATTTTATTTGTTCTTGGGTTTTATTTGTTCTCCACCCAAACCATAAATTCCACAATGCTTAAAGATGAATACCTGAGTTTGCAGTCTTTTGGTTATCAACAAGAACAAATTCTTCAGCATGATTTCCATCAGTTTCATTTATTTTTTACTAAAATATGGGAATAATGTCTAAGGATGAGTCACAATATATACAGATAGTCCTTGATTTATGACACAATTGGGACTCGAATCTCAGTCATTGAGCAAAATGATCATTAAGCAAGATCCCCATGTAATTGCTTCATTCAACAACTGCAATCCCAGCACTTGTGGTTGCAATCTCACGGGTCATTAAACCGACGCTGTCTCAGGTAAGAAGTACCTTAGAGGAAGTGGGAGACCATGGGAAGTCTGCTCAGGAGCTAAAAATCCTCCATACTAAAATCCAAGCAGGATTTTCAGCACTTGGATCCAAGCAGGATTTTCAGCACTTGGAGAGACACCAGGGCATGGCCTGGGCCAGGTCTGCTATGGCCTCTCCTACCTACCTGAGGCACCCCACACTTATTCCCTTAACATGTTGCCTCTTCACTCTCTGCTTGGATTTTGGGTGACAAACTCTGGCTGAAAGAGCTGCCTGCTGAAGAAGTTCAGCTTCCCACCGTGCATAAGAGGGAACTCTGGCAGCATGCAAGTACAGAGATTTGAGTTCTGTTTCTGCACCACAACAAAGGACTCCAGCTCCTCTATATGTGGAAATCTTCAGGATTTGAACTTCATTTTTACACCCTGTCAAAGGACTTCATTTGACAGGTAGCTCTTTCACAAGCCACCAGAGATATGAGTGAGTCCTCTCAGCAAGTGCAGCAGCTTGTAACCTGCTGGCTCCCCCATTGACTTTCTAGCTGGCAGAAAAAATTGCAAATGGTGAGCACATGATTATGAGGCAACTAGTTGTAAGTGCAATAAGATCGTCAAGCACCCAGATTGTGTTCATGTGACTCCAGGAGTAATGATACAACATTTTGTGATGACTGGAAGTGCTTTATAGGCAATTTTAAAATATAGGTGGTGACCTAACAACTTTTTCATTCCTATAATTAGTAATCCACTAGTAGGCTAGTGAACTATTTGAACATGAGTGTAATTTTCCTGCAAGTATTTCAACTAGATAATCAAATAACTTCTTCCGGGCCACTTTGGTAAATTTGGTGGGGGGAAAACTTGGCCCGAGCAATGCATTATGCTATTGATTGTGCCATATATCAATTAATATGGTTTACTACTGTTTATAATATTCCATGGTGGAGTGAAGGGAGTACATGTCTCCACAGATGATGTTGTCCTCAGTGAGGCAACAGTGCTTTCTCGTTCTTTTTTTCCTTTTCTTACCCTTCTTTTCTTTCACTTTTATAAATTTCCTTATATTTTCCACTACCGACAATATTTAATGGAGCTCCCTTCATCTATACAAAACCTTATTAATATATGAATGAGAGACATTTGGGAAATACCAGCACATAGGCTAGTATGGGAATTGAGAAACATCCCAGAAGAAAGCTATAACAAACCATTTCCATTCTGTTGCTGAAAAAACTGAATATGTTCATGGAGATACTAGGAGTTGGGTTTAGTTCAAAACAGATTGGTCACAAACAGTTGTACTTCAAGCAAAAATTATTATAAATAAATCCACCTCACATTCAGGAGTAAAGGAAAAATGTTCTCCCGCATCTTGGTTAATGGACTAATTTATGCTCAGCCCATGTAAACTGTGAATAGATTTCCACTTTCCCACCCTATTTCAGCACATGTATTAAGCTTTCTGCTCACTTGTCATTTCCTTGTGGGACACAGGCTTATGAGTCATAGACATTGCTTTGAGCATACTGTGTTTGAGATTATAGCTTTGATTTCTTATTTCCATTTTATCTTGACATCTGCAAAACAAAATATAAATGGTAAAACAGCAAGCTAACTGATGTTAAAATAATGATGAGGTAACAATTATACATCCAGTAAGTAATAGAAAAGGGCTCAATGGATTAGTGTAACTGAAAGGCAAATTAGCAGGAGGGCTGTTCCCCATCACTACCTGGTCTTCAGCCAATTAGCATGTGAAATACATAAAAGGATTGTATCTTTTGCCACATCAATGGAATAGAATGGTATTTGTCAGCATTCAAGAAGATTTGGAGGGGACACGGTTTTCATTGAACATAGCACAGTGCTAGAGTCACATAAAAAAGAATTCAAGGATTTTAGTTACATCATGGTTTATGGAAAATGATAGACAATGATAGACAAATTATAATGTTGAAGGACCTGGAAGTTCAGGAGAAAAAATTAAGAAGAATTAGGAATGAAAAAAACATTTGATAAATATCCATCAGTGTTCGTTTTGTAAACAGATACAGATCAGATGCAGTCTGAAAAATATAGAATAGAAAAAATGCTTAATAACACCTTAGAATAAAGACTGGTAATTTTTCTCCATTATATTACAGAATATAACACCATTAGAATTTGTTATAAGAAAAATGGTCTTAATAACTTGAAGAAACATATTTACTTCATTTATCTCATGCAAAATCAAAAGACCAATAATCTACCACCAATTTTCCAAGGGGGAAAAGTTAAACTTTATGAAATAAAAGTATTAAATACCACTTCACCTCTGTTGGATATGCTAGTGCTTCAGTTAGCATTTATGCCACAGAACTGCCTTTTCATTACCCCCACCCTGCTTTGTCTTGCCTACTGATTCCAGAGACCCTAAATGGACAAATCTAAGAGTAATTTATCCATCCAAGTCACCAAGATATGGCCAGCATATTTTGCAACTATTCTATTTGCAAGTAATGGGATTGTGGGAGTAGGATCTCATTTGCAATCTATTCTATTAACTCAAATACACGGGTCAAGTCTTTGAAGACTTTTCCTTTTTCATTTGCTGTAGTTTCCAGTGAAAAACTTATTATTTGTGACTAATTGCAATTATTTGTAACATAGAGTAAAGAATACATATATGGATATTAGCTTCTAATATTAGGTAGACTTCTGCTTTTGTGTGCCACCAAACAGTAACCAGGTTCTATTTTATTACTGTTGTTCTACTTTTTCATCTTTGGAGGATGGAAAGCATAATTTTCATTGAGACAATCAGCCTGATTTGTGACTACAGGTAAAGTATTAACATAAGCAAAGAAACATTACAAAAAGTACCTGTAATTTTTGGATTGTGACTCTGGGTGTCGCTGTTTACCAGTCGGGCAGAGAACTGCTCAGAAAGCTGAACCTTCATATCTGTGCTACTCAAATACCTAGACTACAGAACAGCAGGATCATAAGGAAGAGACATACAAGCACAGGCAATTCTTGCTTGCTGGAAGTAAATGGAGAAAAGAAGCTACAGAGAAGGAATTCTACTACAATGCCTTATAATGGTGAATTCTTGGAAGATTATTTCTGGTCAGCTCCATTATTCTATTCCAGAGGAAGTACGCAAAGGTACTTTTGTGGGAAATGTTGTGAAGGATCTGGGAATAGATGGGAAGCAGCCTTTTAACCATGGACTACGCATTATTTCTAATTCAGGTACAGTTCAGTACTTTGAACTTAATTCCAACAGTGGCCATTTACAAACCTGTGAGAGAATAGATAGAGAAGAGATCTGTGGAACAGAAAAGAAATGCATCTTAAAATTTCAAATCCTTGCTGAAAGCAAGTTAAAGCTTTATGTCACTGAAATAGAAATTGTGGATATAAATGATAATGCTCCTTCCTTTCTTTCAATAAGATGGGAACTGAAAATCAGTGAAACATCTATTCCTGGTTCTCAGTTCTTTCTGCCAGAGGCTCAAGATCCAGATCTGGGGGGAAATTCTATACAACACTATGAACTCACAGCCAGTAACCATTTTTCTTTGGAAGTGCAAAACAGCCAAAATGATGTCAAATCTACTAAACTAGTATTGGAAAAATCCCTGGATAGGGAAGAGCAGTCAGTGTATGATTTGATCCTTACAGCTTTTGATGGGGGTGAACCTACCAGGTCTGGTACACTGCAAATTAACATCTTTGTTCTAGATGCAAATGATAATGTACCAGTTTTTAGCCAACCAATCTATGAAGTAAATGTCAAGGAGAACATGCCTAAAGAATCCATAGTGGCTACAGTGACGGCTATTGATATGGATGAAGGAATCAATGGAGAAATAAAATATTCTTTGCAGAAAATATCAAAAAAAGGCTCCCAAAAATTTATGATAAATTCAACTTCAGGGGAAATTATCCTTGTGGGGAGCCTTGATTTTGAAACATCGTCA